AATGTTAGGATAGCTTCACTTCAGAGCCTATATAAGCTCAATTAGTCCATTGTACAAAACACCTTTCAATCCAGAATTAATCAAAGTATTTTGTTGTTTTCTTTCAAGTCGTGTGTTTTCTTGAAGAATTGTTCTTTCTTTGGACTTAAGTGTGTTTGCTAATGCAAAAGCAACGAAGAAATGACAAAGAACTTGAAACAACACGATTTTTATTGGTTTTCGATTTTATGAAAATTAACCAACAGAAACGGAAAAAAAAAAAAAGATAAATGTTGGATGAACACAACCTGGAGATACCAGATGATATAAGATTGGAATCCACCAAACTTATGTTCACGAGATAATCAAGAGTTTACAAGTTTTCTTGCGGAAAAGGGCGTGATGTTGAGTTGGAAGGTGGTAATTTGATTGACTCTCTCAATCGATGGGGTGATTGACTCTCTCAATCTGTGAATGATCAAGTTATTTGAATTACACAAACAACTATATTCGTGGCTTCTAAAGAATAGAAGTGAAACTCACACTTGTATTCAAAAGAAAGAACAATTCTTCAAAGAAACACACGTTGAAAGAAAACGAAAATACTTTGATTAGTTTGATTGAAATGTGCCTTTACAATGAAAACAAAACTGAGCTTTTATAGGCTCTAATACAACGGTCTAATAGCCTAAAAGAAGAAATCAAATCGCGGAGTTAAAAGAAAAACTAGCCGTTGGGATTTTAATGTGAAATCTGCCCAACTAAGGTAAGTTGTGATGATGCTTGAGTCTTGAGAGGTATGGCATAAATATATGATGGAACGTCCAAGTTCAGTGAATGAACCTCCAAAACGCAGCAGCATAGAGGAATTAGGCGTGGTGATTTATGGCACCAAGTGTGAACGTGTCCATATATGGCAAGTATACAAGCAAGAGAATCCGCATGATCCTGTGGTTTTTGGTGCACGTGAAGTAACTTATAACCTTCCTTAGATGTCTAATAATCTCTCCTGGTCGCCACATTATGGTTTGCAAGCGATTGAACCGGTTAATCTTCATACTTTCCATAATCGGCTCCGGTTGGCTTAATTGAAGATTCAATTGGATCCGCCTGATCCAATATGTGTTTGATGYGGACATCGATCTTAGCAC